TGCATACATATTATTAAAATTTGGGCTATAATGGTTGTATTGATGTATAGCAACTTGAAATGCTCCCAAAAATGGCTCCACAGCATGTAAAAATATAAAGTAAGCTCTGGCGGACTTGGTTCTATGGTAGGTCATAAAGGGTTAAATAATTACATTGTAAATTTCATTCACAGTGATCACATATTTGCACAAATATTAGTATATACACCATCTCCTGTCTTCTATAGGATTTTTTTTTAAATCAGCTCTCTGTTCTGATTGGCTGACTGTAATCAGCACATTGGCAGTTTCTGCCAGCGTTACTGCAATCTGCCACAGCTCAAAAATAGTATGAATTCACGCTCCACGGAATATGGTTTTATTTCTTTAACCATGTAGGCACATTTCTATACACCCTCGCTGGCTTTTAAACAACAATATACAAACTACTTCTTTTCTATTAATTGGCACCATTTCACATTTGTTTGTTTGCTTACTCCCACCAGCTGGCTGGCACAGACTGAGGCACCGTTAACGTTTAAGCAGCTTTAGTCACTAAATGAGTTTTCACGCATATGCAGCAGCCCTGAAGTTTTCCAGATATCACCCAGAGGTGTACATAAGAACCCAAATGTCTGAATCAGTCAGACTGGACACTAAACACACTTTTAACCCTGCCAGCTTCTGATTGCAGAGTGTGTGTAACGGAGCCTAATAGTGCAGGCAACTATCCAAAAACTTCACAGTGAATCAGTGGGATTCATGTGTTGTACATCCTCGATGCCCCACCAAAGAACCACTGTAATCCAAATGCTCAATTTCCATTCATGAGATTGTGTCTGAGAATAATCTCTTGACACTATCCGGAATTCACGTGGAAAAACTGCCTTTGTAGAAAACATCTATAATTCGGAATAAGCAAGCTTTAATTTCTGTTGAAAATGTACCAACACTAATACTGCTTTACTGTATGTAAAATCAGAGCACCAAGTGGAACCACGTAGCCCCCAAGCTTTAGAAGGGGATGAAAAAAAAAAAAAAAAAAAAAAAAAAAAAAAAAAGAAGGGGATGAATGTCAATTGGCAAAGATGACAGAATAGCTGCCACAATAAGGTGATAAAGTTTCTGGATAACTGCACAACGTATTTCAGTTTAGGTTTGAACTATAACTTTGCATTTTCAGGGGCTTCCACTGCATCTGTGTCATGTCAACATTTTCATTGACAGAACTGAAAGTGCACTCAAATCAACAACAACATAAAGGATAAATTTTTACTATGATGAATTTCCTGCTTCTGCAAATGCTTTTAAATGGATTTCCAGCATCTCATTTTTATGTGGCGTCCACACTTTACATTTACTGACTGAAAAAAAGAAGATAAGTCCTCTATGTAGACATTTCAACAAAGTATGAAATTCAAAGATTTTTAACCCATATAAAATGGGTAAGGGCATTCATCACTGAACATGAGCTGCAAATACGGCTGTGCGATATGACAAAATATATCGGATGACAAAATTAAAACATCTATTGTTTGTTTCGTAGTGTTGCAGAATACACCGTTTACTGCAATATTTTTTCATCATTTGGATGGTCACCACGTGGATGCAGCAACAGAGTATAAAAGTATGGCCAGTGATGATGAGGCAGAACCAGGTAGCTCCAAACAGAAGGACCAGTCAAATCAAGGACCTTTCTCCCAAACGAGCAGCTACCTCTGTAGCATGGACAAGGTTTGGTTATGAAAACTCTGACACGGACCAGAAAACTGTGCTATGCAAACTATGCCACAAACCGGTCCCCAACCTGTTCTACCACAAACACAACAATCACGTGAAAGAGTATGGACAGAGTTTATGGATGAGAAGCAAAAAAGAGCCACCAGGTGCTCAAAATAAACCTTACACTCAAACGTTAGAACAAGCTTTTCCCTCCAGCACGCCGTGTAATAAGCACTCTCAAAGAAAATGACAGCCATTACAACTTCTATCTAAAATATAAGAAAAAAATCAACTCCAGGTACACAACACCCAGCTGAAAACACTTCACACAAGTCTAGTTGCCCAGAATTGTGATATATCTCGTTATCGGGATGAGAAATGTCTTATGTCGGGATATGAGATTATGGTCATATCGCGCAGCCCTAGTTGCAAATCTATCGTGTAAAAAAAGAAAAATCGTGCCACACAAATGTCCTCTGATGTGTTCACAACCTCAAACAAACAAACAACACTCATGGGAATAAACACAGTATAGGGGCCATCAATCTAAATGTAAATCAGGTTGTATGCCATAAGTCTGGTTAACATTTAGATAAGTGGATTTTAATTTCCTTTAGAGAAAAATCCTCATTTTCACACAAATGAATCGATATGCAGTATGACTGCATGCTAGATCAATAAGACTAAAGCTAGAGCCATAAATATACTGGCAGGATTTAGTTTAGGAATGATAGTATTGCTGTGTACAACGGAGAATATACAACAGGGTGCAGAGTATACTAGAGAGTTACCTTCACTTTCAGAGGAATAACCACAAGTGACCAGTAATAACAGAGTTTTAAATAGCTATCTACCCCTCCTCCAACAATTACAAAAAAAATGTACAAATCAATATGCATTTTTATTAATTTCTGAAGACAGTAGGTCTCCTTAATATTCATTCTTAATGGATGTGCCATCAGCTCCTATTATTTGTGCCAGGATTCACTTTAAACTGCTTGCAAAGTCGTACTCCCTGCTAACAAGTGACAACTGGTAGTACGAATTCAGTGTCAAACACACATGAGCTAAAACATTATGACATCTCACAGGTGAAGAGAATAATTCTGATTGTTTCAACGCAATAGCGCATGTCAAGGTCTGTGACATGCTAGGCATTAAGTGATCAATTAATCCAGTAGGCCTTGAGGGGCATAACCAGTGACAACTGAAAAGAACCTCCCGGCAGTAGTTCAAGGAGGGATAAATAACCTACACAGTCTGAACCGCTACAGCTCTCTCTGTAATACTTAAAAACAATGTCCTGCTGTCTCATCACCAAATACCAAATGATGATTTCAAAGATCTTACACTTAGTCTACGCCTAGGTAGCTCAAACTGCTTTGTCAACACAGGACTGACCATGATCATATTTGGAGTGTTGGTTCATAATTCTACACAGTGACCCGGGAGCAGAGAGCAGTACGGCATGAACAAAACACACATGACAACTGCTGTTTCACTTATGATTTTCTCAGAAACATCCTTTTTTGAGTCTACTAAACATCAGTCCCTATTCTAACACTTAGAGTGCAGAAAACTGTTCAAAGTGGAGTAGACTGGTATTGGCTGGCTCTTTCTCGGCATCATATCAAACAGAAAGGAAGAGACACACCCAAAGTGGGCAGAGATTTTTAGTAGGAGATCCTGAATACTGGCACGCACTTGCATAAACACATGCAGTACACCATGTAGGCAGAGTCTGCACACCATTTAAAGAGGCAGCTGGTGCATATGCCAGATTCCATGCTCAGTTCAACAGGCATATGTGCCTTTCTTGACCATATCATGCAAACACAACAGACTAAGTCTTAATGCTAAGCAACAATGCAACCACCATTTAATAAATAAATGCATCTTAAAATTTACTTATTTAAAAATTTTCCTGAACAACCAGACATTTATTACAGGAATAACCGTTCCTCTGGGCAATCACAAAAAACATTTAAAATACAAAAACAAAATATAAGAGATTCTCCTTCCATCCCCTTCATCATTCCGGGATACATGACTAGCACGTCAAGGAGAAAAACAGGCACACCCAGGGTCTTACATATAACACGGTCACTGCTATATTACAGCTTATTTTATGTTAGTGTGTTTGGTTTTACAATGAATGTGTACTTTGTAGAGCCTGTAGAGCCTGGCCAAACCTATAAATTTGGTGACAATGATCTCAAAATCAGCACAGATGAAAATAATGCCCATATAGAAATGTTTTAAGAGTTACATTTTAAAACTGTGGCCAAATAATCTGCAGACCTTTTTCCTTTCCTCCGACAGCTTTATCTGGCTCGTAATTTTTCTTGCCTGGAGTAAACACATTTGTAAGAGTATGTAGAAAAACCAACAACATGAACATATCAGTTCCCTAAAATCACCCCATACCATTTAAAGAAGATCCATAACAAAGGCACACAGTTAACAGCTGTGTAGTTACCACAGCAGAGAGCTCAGGCTGCTTAAGTTCAATCTCTGATTATTCTCTACTCCTCAAAAGGCTTTTTACACATAGCTGGTTTTTTATCTTTAGTGTACAACAAACTCACAGCTAGAGGTATGTGTGGAGTAAAATCATCTCTGTAGATAAGTTTGTGCACAAAAAGATACCTTCCTTTGAACCTTAAGAGGTACTAGCATTAAAAGTCGCTATTCTGTTGCAAAGACTTGTGGGTTTAAAATTATTCAAGGTACTATAAACCAAGAGCAGAACTGTCGCTTTAAGTATCAATGCCTGCAGGTTAGCTAACCGGTGAACAAGTTAAGTTTGTCAGTTTCATTCACAAAAAGCTTGCCATGGCTCCCTCGCCTCGCCACCTCACCACCGCCTCATCGACAGGACAGTAACCCAGAACTGTGTTGAGTTGGCAAGCGAATTAGCCAGCTAGCTAGTGAGCAAGCCAAGTCACTTTATACTAAGCAGATGTATCGTTAGCATACAAGCTAACAGGGATATCCATTCCAGAGACAGAGTCGACAGTGAGCTTTGAAGTTGCTGCTTGCCCCCCCCACACACACACTCTGGTTCCGTTAACACACGCCGACCAGCTGGAGGCTTTCTTCATGACTTATCGACAAAGTGCTTTACGAGGATAACTTAAAATGTGACAGAAGAGGACGCGAAGACTGGTGGGGGGGTGGGGGGGGGGGTTAAATGTTGCTTTGCTGGTGTAAAACTCAACTGTGAAAATATCAGCTAGCCCTGTATATGAGTGTCTGGACAGCGGGAGCCAACAGGACGATAAAGGTAGCAACCTTACCTGGAGGATGAAAGGTGTCGTGCAAAGTCGGAGTTTGGCCAGACACGTCAGTAGCTTCTTTTCGCTTTGTCGGTCAGTTTAAAAGACTGCTGCTTTACCTTTGGCTGGATCACGGTCAACCAAAGATACTGCCTGACTCTGCTGCCTCCCAGCCACAACAGCGACTGAATACAGTTCAGCGTCTGCTTCTCACTGGGAAGAATCCTTGGCATCGCGAGATAGGGCGAGAACTCGGGGGTGTCTACGGACCAATCACAGTAGCCGGCTGGAGCGAAGCGTTTGTTTTTGTTAGGGTTTGTGTGAAAGTCTGAGAGACAGTCTGCTTCTCTATAAAATAAAATAAAATAAAATAAAATTAGCATTTTTATTTTTCTAAAGTTAATATACCTTTTAACTAACTTGAAACCCATTTTAAATATTATTATTATTATTATTATTATTATTATTATTAGCATTATTATTATTATTATTAATGCAACTAACATTAGGCAAATCATTTTTTAAAAACTACCTGAAATAAAATACTAAAACATGAACATAAGTGACCAAGTGATTATTATTATTAAGGCAACACTGCATTAATCAAAAGCCTAACTGCTACAATCTGCACATACCTCTGCCTCAAGAAAAATGTGGAGAACTGCATCAGTTGATAGCTAAAACAGCCTCAGGTTGCCTATAAGGTGTGTGCAATGCAGAGAAAGGACGCAAGAATTATAAAGCAACTGTTCTACATAATGTAAATGACGGAGGCAGAATGCACTGCAGTATTTTTGACTAGAATGAGGAAACACTGATGAAAGTCTCAGATGTGTTACATTAGATGAGATTATTTAAGTTTTCTTAGACCTCTAATATCTTTTACAAGAGACTGCATGAGGGTATTTCAGTAAAGCATTAAATAAATGAGAAATCCAGTCATCTTCACTATATCCCATGTCTTATGAAGTACAACGTGAGAAAGAATAAAAGAAGATGATATCATCATAGGCAAAAGGAACCCAGAGTGCAGCACATGCATGATGCAAGACTGCACCACTCTCTGATGGGGGAAAAAAAAACAACATCTGAGCATTCTCACATTTTCTCTGTGAGTGTCGCATATCCCCGCAGTTAACTTAACGGGCACTAATGCAGTCTCAGTAGCTTTAGCTGTCCTAGTTGTGGATGCTCATTAAAATCAGGTATAGATTCTCCAGTCCACTGGTGCTTAATAGTTTAGTGGACTCAGAGGAATCCAGATTTCTTTTATTTTAAATTCTTCCTATTTTTTTTAATTTACTTTTAAGATTAGCAAGCCAGCATCTTCAGCCCTTCTTTCATCTAAAAATATGTTTAAAATTCAGTCAGCTCTGTTTTGTTTTTTTTTGTTGTTTTTTTAAAAACATGTAGAAAGATCCTGTATGTTTTTCTTTCATTATGGTTTGAATACTGAAATGATTTTGTTTTGGTGAATTAGAAGTCAATGAACAGGATCATCTAAAGTAAGCAAACCACAACCAGCACATCACATCGCATTATAACATTTTAAGCTGCACAATTAATTAATGGCATTTGCCTTACACTTATTTTAGAATGCAGTGTTATGTGGATATGTGAATAATTCTAAACCAAAACCAGTTATTTATTGTCCTGTAAATAAATTCTTATATTTAAAGAAAGAAATGTGAATGCAAGGTTACTTATAAGCCTCTACACTAACATGGTGATATTACCACTGTTTGGCTGTAAGTGCAGCCATCACAGGTGCATTCATAAAAAAGAAGCAATCCACCAGTTAGCTCACAAACAGCAAAATTCCTGGGAGCCCACAGAAGACAACTGCAGTGGATGACTGCAGAGTTATTTCACTGGTTTAAAAAGTGTTCATACTTTCTAGTCAAGAAGTCAAGTGTAGTCAAGAACACTCTCAAGGAGATATTGTGAAACTACAATCAAGAGAGACCTTCAAGAATGGAAAAGATTAAGTGTTTACACCAACATGCAAACCACTGACTACACTGAGGATCAAGAAGGCCCGGTTGTTTTTCTGAAAAAAATATTCTTTGGACAGATAAAGTTGAGATTAATCTATACCATAATGATGGGAAGAGAAAGGAAGAGAACCTCTCGTGATCAAATCCATACCACATCATCTGTCAAACAGGGTGCAGGCAGTGTTATGGCGTAGGCATTTAACTAGATCACTAGCACTGATGATGTGACTGCTGATAGGAACAGCAGAATGTATTCTGAAGTTTACAGGGCTATACTTTCTGCTGAGATTCAGATAAATACTGCTTCACAGTGCAAATGGATAATGATCCTAAACAAACTGCAAAATCAACCCAGCAGTTTCTCTGGGCAAAGAAATGGGAAATTCTTTGTCATTGCAACATTATGGTTGCTGTTCAGGCCAAGTCAGTCATCTGATTTCAACCCAGCAGAGCATGCGTTTCAGTAACTGAAGACAAAACTGGAGGGACCCACAAATAATGGTGTCTACAGTAAAATCCTAGCAGAGCATCTCAAAAGAGGAAAGACAGCATTTGGTGGTGTCTGGTTCTAGACATCAGGCAGTCATTGACTGCAAAGCATATTGTCACAAACCAGCCCAAAGGTCAGACAAAGGGAGGGAGATCACACATATAAATTTGTCTTAGAGGAATAAAAATGTAAATTAAAAGAAATAAAAATGTAGTGGCCAGATCAGTCACGTGAAGAGTGTGAATTCACGTATGTTGCAAAGGTCTCTAAATGAAAAGTGAAGTTAATCCAAAGCCAAACCCTAACCAGCTGTTCTCCTGCCTGCTGGAAAGAAGTGAAAACATTAAACATTAAACCACTAGCCAACCATTAGCCAAGTGCCAACAGATGTGCCGTCTCTCAATACAGTGGGGCAAAAAAGTATTTAGTCAGCCACCGATTGTGCAAGTTCCCCCACTTAAAATGATGACAGAAGTCAGTAATTTGCACCAGAGGTACACTTCAACTGTGAGAGACAGAATGTGAAAAAAAAATCCATGAATTCACATGGTAGGATTTGTAAAGAATTTATTCGTAAATTAGGGTGGAAAATAAGTATTTGGTCACCTCAAACAAGGAAAATCTCTGGCTCTCACAGACCTGTAACGTCTTCTGTAAGAAGCTTTTCTGTCCCCCACTCGTTACCTGTATGAATGGCACCTGTTTGAACTCATCATCTGTATAAAAGACACCTGTCCACAGCCTCAAACAGTCAGACTCCAAACTCCGCCATGGCCAAGACCAAAGAGCTTTCGAAGGACACCAGGAAAAGTATTGTAGACCTGCACCAGACTGGGAAGAGTGAATCTACAATAGGCAAGCAGCTTGGTGTGAAAAAATCAACTGTGGGAGCAATCATCAGAAAATGGAAGACATACAAGACCACTGATAATCTCCCTCGATCTGGGGCTCCACGCAAGATCTCATCCCGTGGGGTCAAAATGATCATGAGAACGGTGAGCAAAGATCCCAGAACCACACGGGGGGACCTGGTGAATGACCTGCAGAGAGCTGGGACCAAAGTAACAAAGGTCACCATCAGTAACACACTACAACGGCAGGGAATCAAATCCCGCAGTGCCAGACGTGTTCCGCTGCTGAAGCCAGTGCATGTCCAGGCCCGTCTGAAGTTTGCCAGAGAGCACATGGATGATACAGCAGAGGATTGGGAGAATGTCATGTGGTCAGATGAAACCAAAGTAGAACTTTTTGGTATAAACTCAACTCGTCGTGTTTGGAGGAAGAAGAATACTGAGTTGCATCCCAAGAACACCATACCTACTGTGAAGCATGGGGGTGGAAACATCATGCTATGGGGCTGTTTTTCTGCCAAGGGGACAGGACGACTGATCCGTGTTAAGGACAGAATGAATGGGGCCATGTATCGTGAGATTTTGAGCCAAAACCTCCTTCCATCAGTGAGAACTTTGAAGATGAAACGAGGCTGGGTCTTCCAACATGACAATGATCCAAAACACACCGCCCGGGCAACAAAGGAGTGGCTCCGTAAGAAGCATTTGAAAGTCCTGGAGTGGCCTAGCCAGTCTCCAGACCTCAACCCCATAGAAAATCTGTGGCGGGAGTTGAAAGTCCGTGTTGCTCGGCGACAGCCCCAAAACATCACTGCTTTCGAGAAGATCTGCATGGAGGAATGGGCCAAAATACCAGCTACTGTGTGTGCAAACCTGGTAAAGACCTATAGTAAACGTTTGACCTCTGTTATTGCCAACAAAGGTTATGTTACAAAGTATTGGGTTGTATTTTTGTTATTGACCAAATACTTATTTTCCACCCTGATTTAGGAATAAATTCTTTACAAATCCTACCATGTGGATTCATGGATTTTTTTTTTTCACATTCTGTCTCTCACAGTTGAAGTGTACCTCTGGTGCAAATTACTGACCTCTGTCATCATTTTAAGTGGGGGAACTTGCACAATCGGCGGCTGACTAAATACTTTTTTGCCCCACTGTATCTGCCTATTACAACCTGCTGCCTTCAACACAAGACCAGAAAGAGGCAGAACAGAGAAGGCTGAGTGGGTAGGGTCATCATAGTATTCATCACATTATTAAAAACAATGATATTTGAAATTATTTTAGGTTGTTTGTTTTATTTTGATCCTCTGAAAACTGTGGACCATGTTGAAAAATGACTGTAACTGCTAAACAGATGATACAACATTTTTGTTGAATCCCTTTAATCAAAGCTGAAAATCTGCACTTCGATCACATATTGACCGCTTGATTTAAATTCCACTGTGGTGGTGTGTGAAGGCAAAGCTACCATTGTCCAAAAACAAATGGACCAAATTATATATGGCAACACCAACATATTTATTTTCCTTCTTTTAAAAAAATTATCTAGGACTGCCATTACTTTAAGAAATGTATCTAATCTAATCTAATAAAATTCTATTGACTATATATTATATAATTTTAGCTATATGATTGTTCTAGTGCTACTTGGAGAATGTTAGCAAAGATAGACCATTAAACCAAGATAAAATAGCACGGTTGTATTTAGCTACAAGCAAAGGAAATGATAGGTTTTCTATGAGTGAATGTCACATGTCATGATTCCTATCATTTGTTCGAGCTAGTTGCTTTACCCTTGCTAAACTGCTTAAATATAATATCCATTTGCTTTTAAAGTCTAACATTGTGGACAAAGGT